CTATCAAGCTATCTCCAGTCACTGCTGAGGAGTTCAATCTGGGCCAGGGAGCTAACCCACATGGTTCAGCAGACCTTCCCTGTCTCACCTGCTTCTCCCCTCAGCAGTGTATTTCAGTAGATCCGCCTGTTCTGTTTCCCGCTCTATCTCTGGTGCATCCTTTCATCCCTCGCACCTCTGGCCGACACCCCAGTTTTTGTATGCATAAATAAAATTAAATCTTAAAAAAAGGAAGTTAGTGGCTTGATGCAGGTCACAAAGCTGGAAAGCAGGAGAGCTGGGATTTGGATACACATCTGTCAGCTGTGTCTGCTGCAAAACTTGGGCCCTAAACATGCTGTAGTGATTCACTTTAAAGGAAAAGACAGATGGATGTGAGAGGAGTTTTAATAATAAATAAGCCTTACATCGTCAGTGGAGGAGACCCTGACCACTTGGTAATTTCCATGGGAGAGTGGACCATTCCAAAGCAATGGGGTTTTGTGTTCAATAGATTTTCTTATAGGATGATGAATATTCTAACGGGATACACACTGTTCATTTCTGAGCTCTTTTTAAGAGAAACAAGTTTAGAAGATAATTTAAATTTAAATTTATATTTGACTACAAATGAGAATGTCCTCCTGCCCTTTTTAGTTTAGATTCTAAGGTATCTGGGTCAATGTAGGGATGGTTTTGACATCCTCATCTCAGGATGCTTACTTCCTTATGCTGCACCTTAGCTTCTGTTTTTGCTAGCAGAGGTGAACCCTTTGCCCAGTTCCTCACAGAGTTAGGCTAGACTATAGTCTTATGAACTCTGTAAAAGAAGAGTGTGTGCGGTGATGAGATACAATGCTCCTTTTTTTCATATAATCCTGAATTTTTTGTATTTTAAATACTTAATATTTTGAGAAATGAAAAAAGAGAGGGGAAATCTGTTCACCTTCCCCATTAAAGAAATCTAAGATCAATTCATTGACCTACTATATAATATATATACACACAAACATATATATGAATATATATTATATTTATATTATATATCACACACACACATATAAAAGAGAGCCAAGGAATGCAAATAAATAAAATGAGATAAATGAACAAAGTACAATTTAGAAAAGGTCAACCTCATATCACTAATATATGCATTCACAATAGTGTACTTGTTTCTCACTTCTGCTTAATTAATGGTTGTAACTTCTAAAGCAGTAAGGTTTAAGTTATTGCCTGTTTCCTGGACAATACTGTTAAATATACATTGCTCCGTACCAGAACTCTTACGTTGCTGACAGGAGAGTACATCGGTGTAACCACTTTGGAAATTTATTTGGCAATATCAGATCTCATTACATACATTGCCAATCATTCAGTATTCCACACCTCAGAAAAAGTGGTACTTGCTTGTACCACTTGGAAATATAGAAAAGCACAAAGAAGAGAATAAAAATAAATTTTCATCTTAGTATGGAAATAGCCATCATTAATATTTCGAAGGAAAATTTTAGTTAGGCTTATTTTGTACAATGATATATTGTGAACATGTTTCCATTAAGAGATATTCAGCAATATTATTTTTAATATCTGCCCACTGTTTTATGAGATGACTATAGCATTATGTATTTCTAATCCTTGCCAAACATATAAATAACAAATAATTGTCTCTCATTTTAGCTTTAATTAGGATGATTGGTTAAAATAAAGTAGCAACCAAAATTCTTTGCTTATTTCACCTGTTGGCAATATTTTTTTCTGCTTTATTAAGCCCTTTTGATATTTCAAACTCCTTTCCAAATGAATGAGCATGCTGAAACTTTAGTTTGTCCCTATGAGGCAGCAGATCTTTAGAGAAACGACCATCACAGATAGATTGCACAGACACCTTCGCTGGAATTCATTTCTTATTTTTTCAATTCTTGTCGTTTTGTTTTCTTCTATTACCATCCCTTATACTCCTTTAATAATTTCTCCTCCCGCCTGCCTTTTAACTTCAGAAACCTCACTTCATTTATTGGTTTCTGCTAGTTTTTTAAGTATTCTGATTTGTCAAATAGCCACTATGGAAATGCCCAATATTTATCATTTTTTATTTATATATATTTACATCATTGTTCATTTTTATAAAATGTTTGATTTCTCCTCTGTGGTGTTGTCCCCATAAAATTACCACTACCAAGACACCCGTAAACCTCCACCATAGACTCTTGGGCTCTTCCCTCTTACCCATATTTGTTGCTGCCGAAACTTCTTCAGGTCTTTGCCCAAACCTTACCTTCTCCAGAGGCCTTTATGATCACCTTATTTGAGAGCACCCCTTAGAAGGGAAGGTGGATTTGGGGTGGGCAAATTAGGACAAGGGGGCCAACTGAGAGTAAAGGATAGAACTCAACCTTTAGTGAACTGAATGCAAACACACATGCTGATTTTGAAGGATGCAAACCTGAAGCTGATGTAATGTTATAATGCAATGTTACTTAAAGTAAAGACATAAAAACAAGAGACCCCTCACTCACCTTATGGCCTCTGCTCTGCTTAATTATTCTCCGTAACATTTCTGATCATGTGTCAAGCTACATATTTACTTTTAAAAATCTGTTTCTCCCATTTGGCAAACTCCATGAAGTCCAGAATTTTTATGTTTTTATTCCTGATTGTGTCCCCTATTCCTAGGGGACAAAAAGCACTCTAAATAGTGGCTGAAGAAAGAAATGATTCCCCCACCTTCCAATTGTTAGAACAGGTCAAAGTGACTTGCTGTGAGATCGTCCAGCTTCTCATCTCATCTCTCTCTCTCCCTTGTCCCTCCACAGCTATTTCTTCTGAACCACTTGTCTGCACTTGTTACAGGTGAAAGACTGGTAAATCCTGAGAGGCACTTTCAGCAAGTGCAGCCTGCACATTCTTGCTGCTGTCCAAACACAGCACTTGGGAGACGGTAACAGAAGGAAGTGGGAGGCGTGCAACCTCTGATGACCAGGGATGCAAGAGAACTCAAAACTAGATAGACCTGACTTTGGAACTCTCAAGATGTCATTCATGGAGAATGACAGGAAGAAGAGACTTTCCTCAAAGGGCAATTCTGTTGGTGCCAGCAGGACGCTGCTGGGGGTGGGGAGGTGTCTCCACATCTGCTTTTGCAGGGTGTGTGGTGCAGCCTGCTCGGATTGAGGTTCCCCTCAAGTTTCAGCCACACCAACCACAGATCTCTGAAAATGCCATGAGAAACTAACCAAGAATTGGATTTCTCCTCCTGTATATAGACTCCAGAAAACAGAGGCCTGACTTCGCAGTCCAAGCCGGCAAAGGGCGTGGGATACTGAGGAATGGGGAACCGAGGCGGCACGCCCCACTTGGAATAGGCACAGCTCAGAGTCGGCTTCAGGGACAGCGGGCCAAGGCCAGGCCGTCCCGGGTCTCAGGTCTGGGCCCTTGGAAGGATGTTCAGACACGGGGCAGCGCAAAGGCCACCATCACTCTGGGTGGTAGGGAAATGGATTCTGAGCCTGCTCTCCGGTCCTCCGGGCATCCCTGAGTTGGGGAAGTTCCTTTTTGCTGTGGAACTGCCCAAATTAAGGAACCCTCCTGGCCGGGCGGGGGGGGGGGGGGTGGGGTGGGGGAATTGATAGTGAAAGTGTGATTAGCACATTCCTCAAACTCACAAGCTGGGGTAACGCTGAGACTTCCCCTTAAAAACAAACAGGCACCGCTGCACCCTCCAGCTCTGGCCTCGTCGCCCAGCCAACTCTCCGCCCGCCCGCACACTCCAGGGAATTGCCAGGAGAGCAACAGGCGAACGTTTCCATCACCTGACGCGGCTCTCTTGGGACTGTACTCACACTTTGAAATTCAATCCGCAGGGAAAAAAGTGAAGAAGTCACTGAAAAAAATTAGGAAGGGAGGGGTTTGCGAAGTGAGAAGCTGAGACGTCCCTGGCCCATGGGGTCCCGTCTCTTTCCATCTCGCAGAACCCAGAAATGAGCCTTTGGGCTGGACCATAGACGAGCTTTTACCTATATATATATTTTTTAATTAGGTGGCGGCATGAGTTTACAACACGGTGTGTAATTCAGGGGAACAGCCTCACACCTCCTCAGAGGCCTGTCACCCTACCATACCACCAACGCACCCCTGGTTTTTCCTAGACCATCAGGCCCCTTCGCCCCTTCGCCCCTTTGTCCCCACACCCGCCCTTCCTCCTCCGCCAGGAGCCGAGTCTTATTTTCTTGTAGGGCGGGGGGCGCGCATGCGGGTAGATCCGGGGACAGGTGAGCCCCCAAGGGCGAGGTGTGCTCCTGTCCTCCCCGGGCGTGAGTTTCGGTGGAAACTTTCTTTCCGAGGCTCCTCCTCCTTCACCTGGGCAACCCGGGTCCCGGCCCGCGAGCGCTGCAGCTGGGCCGGGACGCACCTGGCGGCCGCGCGTCCCGGGCGGGCGGGGCTGGGCGGGGCTGGGCGGGGCGTTCTCCGGGGCCGGCTCGGCAGGTTAGGCGATTCCCCGCAGGGTGGGCGACTCCCTGCAGCTTGGGCCCCGCCCCGGCAGGTTAGACCCCGCCCCTCAGGTTAGACCCCCCGCCCCGCAGGTTGGGCCACGCCCCCATAGGTTGGGCCCCGCTCCCGCAGGTTGGGCCGCTCCCCACAGGTTGGGCCCCGCCCCGCAAATTAGACCCCCCCCCCCGCCCCGCAGGTTGGGCCCCGCCCCTCAGGTTAGACCCCGCCCCGGCAGGTTGGGCCCCGCCCCGCAAGTTAGACACCCCCCCCCCCCCGCCCCGCAGGTTGGGCCCCGCCCCGGCTGGGGCCCCGCCCGCGCCCCGCGGCCCCGGGGCGGGCACGAGTCCGGCACCCGCGCGGCCACCGGCTGACGCACCGAGGAAAAGTTGCGCCGACACCGTCTCCCGCCCCCGCCTTCCGCCCGGGACCCGCCGTGGGCTCGGGCCGGGCCGGAGGAGCCGGCGGAGACCCGCGAGCGGCGACCCCCGCGCGCACCCGGCGCCCCTCCTGGCGGCCGCGCGGGCGGCCCCGGCGCCAACTCCCGGGACCGTCGGGGACTCGGGCGGACGAGCCCGCTCCGGGTGAGCGCTCGGGGGCCGGCGCCGGCGCCTGTGGTCCGGCGGTTGAGGGGCGGGGGCGCAGGTGTCCCCCGGGCTGGACGCGCGGGGCGGGCGGCGTCCCCGGGAGGGTCCCGGCGGGGCGGGCGGGGCGCAGCGGGCGGTCCCGGGCGCTCCTGATTGACCCGGGGCGAGAGCGCGGCTTCTCCGAAGGAGAGAGATGTCACTGGGGCTCGTCACCCCCTTCTTACTCCCTGGGGCCTGGGAGTCGGGGTGCGCGGGGAGGAGCTGGCAGGGGCCGGGGGTCGGGTCTGTTTTCCTTTCCAGACCTCCGCGCTGCCACCGGGCGCGGGCGGGCGCCCCGAGATCTGGGCGCTTGTCGGGGTTAATTAAGGCTGACGCGGGGCGGCTGCTCCTCAGTTTCTTAAGTTCGCTGATGAAACTGCGCTCAGGTGGTGGTTATAACCGATGGTGTGTCTGTCTGACCCCTCCCCACCCCCTTCCCCCTGCTCCCCCACACCCCGATCTCCACCAGCTCCCTAGTTAACCCCACTTCTGCTAGGGAGTGAACCGGCTGCTGCCCTCTTTCGAGCAGGTCGGAGTGAGGTGTTTGGTGGCACCTGTAGTCGTGTTTGTTTCCAACTTTGGGAATCACGTGAGCACATCTGATGAATTAGCCCAACTCTGGGTCCATCCATTCTTTTTTTTTATTATAAATTTTATTTTTATATTCCCCATACAATTGCACCCCCCTTATTTTGACCCCTTACCCCGCCCCCCCCAAAGTGTGTCTCTGGTTTATAGTAGTTTGTTGATTTTGATTTTCACTTTCTTATAGTTATTCATTTTCCTGGTCCCTTATTTAGGTTTTCTAGATCCCTGCTATGAGTGAGACCATCCGGTATTTTTCTTTTTCTTTCTGGCTTATTTCGCTGAGCATGATCCCTTCCAGCGCCATCCATGTTGCTGCAAACTGCATGTGTTCATCTTTTTTGAATGCTGAGTAATATTCCATGGTGTATATGGACCACATCTTCTTGTGGATCCGTCCATTCTTAACAGATCCAGTTGCTGCTGCCCCAGCCATCCAGTGACAAGGGGAAAAACTTCCGCTGGAGGGAAGGAGTCCATAACAGAGGAGACAGGACCCCAGCAGTAGCAGTAAACTGCCTGCGAATTATTGCTTCCCAGTAAATTGGGCCCCACTCCCTAGTTACTCTGGAAGGGTCTTGGTATCAAATTCATCTCATTAGGCAGTCAGCTGCTTTCTGCTAATAGCCACAGCAGCCCTGATGAAATTATGTAGGTCACCGAAAAATAATTCCAATTTAATCACCATTGTCCTGTTGATTAATGAGAGAAAAGATTTCCTCTCTTTAATGTACCATGCTTGCTCGTGAGGGTCACCTGTCTGACCTCAATTTCACTTGTACACCTGGCTCTGGACAGGATGTTGTCCCGGATGCTGCCCAGACCTAGTGGAGCACAGCAGAAGTCCACGTTTGGGGAACCTCAGTGGTCTTCTCTATACAGAAATTGAGCAGAAGGTGCAGTTCCTAAATTTACTCTTTAATGTAGCAGAATTGTTGGCTTACAGAACTTTTCAGATAATTAAAGGCTGATTTCCTTCAGCTCCAGTTAATCCCTTCCCATGGAGCTCATAAGAATTGTGTCCATGCCTGGCCTAAGATAATTTAAGACAGGGGTCCCATTTGCCATCTGACCTGTATCTGTAGGAGCAGGATTAAGCTATATGGCATGTGTGGAAAGGACAAGAGGAGTTGAGCTTCACTGAATTACATTCAGAGAGAGGTTTGGAGTGGTCTAATAATTGAGGCCCTACTGCCTAGCCAGCTTCTTTCTTGCCTCTGCATAGACACTATAGTGGGTTCTATTTCTTTGAAGACTAGAAAAGAAAGGACTGTTTTATTTCAGAGTCAGAGTTCTGCGTGATCCCTCCCAAGCTTGGTTCAGAACACTTTTTCTGCACTGTTCTTCCTGTCATGATAGGCAGTCAATCGATAATGCTGCAAATGAATATGTGCAGACAAGTTAGCAGAAATATAGAGGTAAATATTCGAAGAACCAGGAGTTGCCTCAGGAGTGGCAATTATATGCTTGTATTACTTAGGAAAAATTTGCTAGGGAAGCACCTCCTTCTGCAAATATAACACAAAATTGCTTTTCCTGATCCCTGCTTGGACACTTGATCTTTATCCTGTGTACATTTGTCTCATAGAGCTGTACTACGCCCCTTGAAGAGCTGGACTCCATGCAACTTCCTGAGTTTTTATTTAGCCCAGGTAGCGGAAAGTGCCTGGGGCTGACCAAGAACTTCAGGGACTTCATTTATAGGGATCTCTTAGTAAAGATAGTAACTGATATGGACATTTTTTATAGTGCTTTCGCAGGTACCTGATTTATGCTTTGTGATTTAGCCATTTTGTAGTGGGTGCTCAGATTGTACAGGAGGAAAGCAGATGAGGTTCAAGGAAAATAAGGAACTCTTAGGTAGGACCATGTTTTTAATTTCACCCTGTTACATTTTGTGAAGTGTTTGGATAGGAAATGGATTTTACTTCTTATTAACCAAAATGTGAACTTAATGGGGATAGAACCATATATAAATATGTTCACATATATGTGTACATGTATATAATCTTTATATCCTGCTCATCTCCACAGTGTAGTTGTTCCCTAGTAGGTTGAATAGGGAACTCTTGGCTAATGTCTAAAATTGAAAAAAAAAATCAGGAAATAGCTTTCAATTATGTGATTTACAAATATGGAAATACGTGCTTAAGGAAACATTTAGAAGAGTTGAAAGAGCTTCTTTTGGGAAATTGACCTCAAGGGTGAGGAGGACCAGGCAGGAGCCTGCTGTTTCTGGCTGTGTGCCTTATAACTGTACACTTTATATCTTGTATTATAACAAGATAGTGTTGTAGAGATTGTTTAATCCCCGTTCTTTCATTTGCAGTTGAGGAAGTTGAGGTGTGTAGGAGTTTAAGTGTTTGGTCAAGGTCACATGACTGTAGAGACAAACTTCTCCCAGTACAAGTTCATTCCCTCCCCAGGGAGGTGGAAATTTCCCCTCTGCTTCTTAAGCCTCAGTTACCTTTCCAGACATTCTTTCTCCTGCTTCTTTCAAGTTTTATGGTATTGGAATATGTCACGGGACTTTGACTTCCTCCTATTTCCATTTTGAAAATGCTTCAAATATCTTTTTTTTTTAAAGATTTATTTATTTATGCATATAAGAACTGGGGTACAGGCCAGAAGTGTGGGGGGTGAGATTCACCAGAGACAGAGTGGGGGACAGAACAGGCAGACTGGCTGAAATACACTGCTGAGGGGAGCAGTGGGCGAGTCAGGAGAGGTCTGCTGCGCCATGTGGGTCTCCTCGCTGGCTGGCCGGGGATCGAACTTGTGCTGATAGCTTCATAGGTTGTGTCTCAACCCCTTGCATCACCAGGGAGGCCTCTGCTTCAAATATCATAAGAGACTTTAGAATCTGTACTTCTATTTGTTAATTTTGTGATAACTTCTGATGGGAATGAAGAACACTTAAGCAGTTGGTCAGCAATTTTGTAGGAACTGACAGTGTCACTCAGTTGAATCTGATAAATAGTGGAGAAGCTATTACTAAAGGGTGATGCTAAGTGGGCCTTTCAATATCTGTGTGTGTTGCTGCTTTTGAAGTTCTGAGAATAAGGATATGACTGTCTTCCAAAGGACGAGGAAACATGATATTTTAGAACTATTGTAGAAAAGTTAGCTTCTTTCTTGATATAATTTTTTTCCTGTTCCCTTCCAATTATATCAATAACATGAAATAAAACTTTATTTTTTCCTCTTCATACCCATAATATATATTTTTCAAAATTCAAACACTAATGAAGGTAATGTTGAAAGTTAAAATACACTGTAATCTTATATTCTGGAGAAACTGTGTCAATAAGTATATGTTTCTGCCCCCCTCCTCAATTTTTCTCTATTAAAATATGTTATTGTGATTGTTAATACCAACTGGGGGTAATACTAAACAACATTCAACTTGCTTTTGTTTTTAAGCTAATATATCTTGAAAATGTTTCCATGACCATACATGCAGTGCATCCTGCCTATACAGCATTGCACCATAGGTGATTTAAACAAGTTCCTGTAGTTGGAAATTTGGATTGTATTTCTCTGTTTCTACGTTCAGAGCAGTGCTTTAGAAAACATCCTTTAAAGTGTACCTCTGTGCCCTTATATGAGTGTTTTCTGTAGGAAAGATTTGTGAGTCAGAAGTATGAAAATGTTAAATTTCTCTAACTTACACTTGGAGTAGTGCCTCTCCCTTACAAATTGTTCTTTACCTTTTCCCCTTTCTGAATGTAGGTTGCTACATGACCAGAAACCGAAACAAGAGGTCAGAAAGGCCAGACTGAGTTTCTGGGAGGGCTTACTTACCTCATTTCTTCACATTTCAGGTTCTTTTGGTTTAAATGTCTCCCCCAAGAGAAGATAGTAATTGATAACAGCTATAAAAATATTCTACAATGTTGGGTGGCTGCTAATTAGTTTTTTTTTTTTTTTTATAGAGGCATGTTTTTATTTATTTATTTATTATATTTGTTTGTTTTGTTTATACATGCACTGGGTACAGTCAGAAGCGCGGGAGGGTGAGAGAATTCACCAGAGCCAGAGTGGGGAGCAGAGCAGGCAGAAGGACTGAAGTACACTGCTGAGGGGAGCAGCGGGCGGCAGGAGAGGTCTGCGCGCCATGTGGGACCCTCCTCTGGTGGCCAGGGAGCAGCCGGGGATCGAACCGGCGCCGCAGAGGCCGCAGGCAGCTTCGCAACCCAGCGCTCAACCGCTGCACCACCGGGGAGGCCCAGCTAATTAGTTTTTATGGAGCATAGGTTTTTTTTTTTTTCCCCTAACTTTTCCTGAAGAACGTTATTCTAGGACATGGCATTAAGGAGGCACTCAGAGTCAAGAGACTCCAGTGGGTTTTGCACAAGGCAGAGTCAGTGCAT